TACTACTGCTACTCCTACTACTACTACTACTACTACTACTAACTACTAACTACTTACTACTTACTACTTACTACTTACTACTTACTACTTACTACTTACTACTTACTACTTACTACTTACTACTTACTACTAACTACTAACTACTAACTACTAACTACGTACTACTTACTACTTACAACTTACTACTTACTACTTCCTACTTCCTACTTCCCACTTCCTACTTCCTACTTCCTACTTACTACTTACTACTTACTACTTACTACTTACTACTACTACGACTACTACTACTACTACTACTACTTCTTCTTCTGACCCGAAAAGCCTGTGTGCACGTTCGACAAGCGCAGTGCGATATCGAATTTAGCCGCTACGCTATGTGATTGCAGGGCCTGCTTGCCCACTTGCCGAAGGTCATGGACGCTGTGCCGAACCTCGCTCATGACCTCCTGCTTCAGCTCCTTGACATCTCTCCACATGTCCTTGGAGACGTCTGCTGTCATTGCAATATTTTGGCGCACTGCCTGAAGGCCACTTGCAGGACTCTCCCCTGTACCATCCGCTTCTTTGGTCTCTGGAGGATATCCCTTACGTTCCTCTTTTTCCTGACCAAAGCTCCGCCAGCGAGCTCCGATGGCACTCCGCCAGTTCTTGGTTTGAGCTTGCAGATCCTGTTTCGTGAGCTGCATACCCTCACGGACACCGCCCGCAATGTCGCGAACGTCATCCGTCACCAGCTTCGCCTCTTCGACGATGGCCTTGCGCAAGGCACCGAAACCTCTAGGCCCAGAGTCCGAGTTTTGGAGCCCGAGATGGGCCACGGCCACGCGCCTGCCGGGCCTTGCTCAAGAAGGGGCTGGCCTTCATCCTCAGGCTCGAAGCCTGAGCAGATCTGCAAGGCCCCCCACCCTCAGCGCCGCGCCCCTTCCCCCGCTGCCCCGGTGCTTGGCCCAGGACGGAGCCGAGGAGAGCGCCAAATCGGCTGGAGCTCGCGGCCTCGGCGGCCTCGGCGCCTTCAGCCTTTCAGAAACGGAGACGCAGCCGACGTCCTGAGATGCTTTGTGCAGGGCGGCCTCCACCTCGGGCTCCAGCCTTGGAAAGACCGACTAAACACTTGAAGACTTGAGGCAAGCCTGCTTCCTAGGGCCTAGGGCACAGGCTCAGGATGGCCATCTCCACTCTCCCTGACATACACCGAGACTTCTGAAGCCCTCCCGCATGCCCCTACCGCTCAAAGCATAATCACGCTGGAGACGCTCGACGGTCTCTGCAGAGACCTGGCATTTTCGGGGCCAGCACGGTTGCTCATCCTGTCCCAGTCGCGCCGCCTCCAGGAGCTCCGCATCCGCCTGCGCGGCCTCAGGAAGCTCGCATTTCAACTTCACCGCCTTCGCCCGGCCCCAATCTCCCCGACCTCTGCCATGCGAGCAAACACTCTGTTTGCAAGCTGAGTGGCAGAGGCGTCGGCGCCCTCACGTGCCATGTGCCACGGTGGAGCCTGTGTTGTCCTGATCCTCGTGTCTTGGATGTCTTGGAATGGCTCGGGTGGCTTGCTCTGGGGCTGAGAAAGCGGGACACCCGCATCCTCGAATCATCGCATCCTCAAATCATCTAAGAGCAAGTGTTCAGCAGTGTTCGGATTTGGAAGTCTATAAGAGTGTGTCGGTTTGAGCTGGCAGACATATCTTGTCGCTCTAGTCGCGCTCTCTCTGGTGTGGTATGTAAGCACATATGTCGCATGCCCGCTGAAGTTGCCTTTTTCGACGGGCGAACGTCGCCCACGTAAGTGATTCGATCAGCTCAGCGTTGAGCCATAGCCTCGGCTCGAAACAATGATCCACATGTACTATAAGGAGTGCCTGTGTGAGTTCAGAGCCTGAATATTGTCGTCGCCTCAGTGTGTAGCACGGTGCAAACCCCAGGACACAAGAAATCACTGCACAGCTCGACGGCTGCAAGGCATAAGCCAGGTGCGACTCGATTGCAGCGCCCTCTGATTGAAGCAGCATGACCTGCAACCGCAATGAGCTGCGGGTCACTGTGACGCAACGCTTCACTGCTGCCGCTTTGTTACCTCTCTCTGCTTTCGCACCCGATGTCGGCGAATGGAGAAAGCCTCACTCCAGCTTCATCTTGCCACGTGGTTCGCCCGTGTGCAACCGTACTCAAATGGTACCCCTTCATAAGCAATCCCACCGGGTTACAACGCCAAGAACTCAGCGCAGGACGCTGTAGACGAAAGCCAGGGCGACAAAGAAAATCGTCGCGGACAGTACCTTTGTCCGCTGAAAGGCTGCAAAAGGCAAAGCTCGTGTCTTCAGCGAGGGCGTACAAACGCCCAGTGCGGCACATTTCTGGCCACCTTTGCAGATTCATCGCAGTGACATTTTGGAATGGTGGAGCAGTCGAGCCTTGAAGCTGCGTGCTGTATCGACCGGGCTGGTGCCGATCCGCACCTCGGAGCGCCGACAACACAAGCCAAGCAATATCAAACGCAATGACTGTCCCGTTACATGCAAAGAATCAGAGGTGAAAGAGGTGTCAAAAACACCGAATGCAAGGTGGGACTCACACTCAACCTCGAGCCCTAAACGCTAGGCAATGCTAGGCAGCGATGCACACATGGTGCGATCCGAACCGATTACTCTGCCCTTCCGCTGACGCAGGCATCACGCTTCCGCAAACGCCCTTCAACTCTCACCCTCCCTCTTCAAGGCCCGGGAACTGCCTGGGATGTCTGCTCACCCTCCTACGACAACAAGCCTCCCGGCGCCAGTAAGTGGTGCCGGCCTTACCAGTGGCATAACTCAGCCTCCGGCTAAGTCGTAGATCCACCAGATGCCAAGGCCGCCAAGGGATAGAAGCTGATCAGCGGGGATGGCACTCAACGAAAGCTGATCACGTCACCAGACGTCACGACCTTGAGAAGACCGTAGGGGAAGAAGAAACCCAGATACAGCTGGTCCAAGCCTCGTGGCACACTTAGACACAGTTGGCATGTCGGTGTCCATGTTCGTTCATGTGTGAGAAGGGCACCTAGGACACCACCAAAGAGGGAGAGCAGAAACCTGGCAAAAGAGCGTCAGATTCTCTGTTCACTGAGAAGCTAGCACGAGCACCACAGGCCGGCACGACGCCACTCGCTGTGACTTTCTGGGTGTCTCGCAGTTCGGATCAGCCCAGCCCTGGCAGGAATTCGTGCAGGGGGAGCGTGCTTGTTGTCCTTTGAGCATGCTCGATTTAGTATTCTGTCTGCTTGGCAGCGAGACGTGTTGACGTAGCTCGCACTGATCAGAGTGCACCGTCTCTCAGCAATGCTGTGCAAACCTTACCGCCTATCCCACAGTTCTAAGGATTTCAACTGGCCTTGCACAAGCGATAGAAGCACTCCAACCCTGCTTGAGATGGGGAAAAAGCAAAAAAGCTTCGCAAATTGCCATCTGTTGCCTACCTGAGCTTTCTTGCTTAGCACTTAGGCTCTCTTGTGCAAACCGGGTTAGCTAGTGGCCCCACTCGCTTCCATCCTTTGCGAGCTGAACCCTTGAGTGTCATCGTTGAGAACTCATTGTTGGATGTAGGACACGCGAAGAAGCAAACCAGGGGCCCGGCCTCTGCGCAATAGCAGAATCTGGGGGCATCGCCAGCCGCCTTCCAGCAGCAGGAACTACTGTACGCCTTACGTTTGAAGGCACACCACGCTCGGACATGTCAGTGGTGGTAGTGGTAGTGGTAGT